GAATATCCTCGTCGTTGAGACTCGAAGCCGCAAAATTGCTTTATCTGGTCATGCGGGGGTGAGATCGATCGTAACCAATAAGAGTTGGGTCGAAACTTCGGAATAATGGCAAATAAAAATTTTTTCTTGTTTAATGTCAACGTTGAGATCTAAAGAACTGTCAACTTAATAACCGTTATTTGTAATTCCATTTCCCCATCAGCTGCTCACATTGGAGTATCATTTGCGAGCAGATCATACCGGGAGGAACAAGATCAACGAAGATCTGGGCTCAATCGGTACTTCTCCTGCGACCAAGCATTATCCGACATTTTGCAGCAAATTGCTCGTTATAATTAAATATACAGTCTTTGTGGTTGCAAGCTGTTTAGTCTGATGATTATAATGCAATGATGAGAACAAGAGACAGAAAATAATCGGCATTTATGAGAACTCATCACAGCAATGAGCATTACTCGTCATTTACGAAACTGTGAACTAGTAATAGTAACTGATAATTGACAAAAATGCAATTATTAGCAGAAATAATACATTTTTGGTAGAGAACCAATGATAGTCACTTATCTCCTGAAACGTTTGAATCCCTTTCTAAAATCTGATACGAAAGATTGAAATACTGCTTGTTTATTTTCCTTTCGCAATGCAACTCTCTTGTTGATAGATCATACGAGCAATAGTCTAGCTAACGAGTAGCCCGCTGGGCACGAGAAAAAAATTTCAAGTCTAATGCCGTATTCAATGGCTTAGACTGTATCAGTTGTTCGATAAATTTGAAAACTTATAGTTTGTTAGTCGACTTTCATACCAGTGTTTTTGATCTGGAACTGAAAAAAACTATAAAACATCAATTCCAATGTTAATCAGCACTTTGAAAAGGTTTTACGCCGTTTAGAGCTTAGCCAGAACGTTTATAGACAGATGCCCAGATTAGAAGGTGCAATATTATGTGATTAACGATCGTTCTTTAGACCGGTGCAATGTGAATCCACAAGGTGTGTTTTTTTATTTCTTTTTGCTAGCATGTCAGTCCTTATATGTTTTTATGTTCCAAGCCCAGCTCAAATGTTAAAATTTTGTCATTTGACTTGAGAA